CTAGCTGCTGCCGAACCTGCTGCGGACTGGTCTCGTCATCATTACACACACGTGGTTCCAATCCCCACTCTATCACAGTATATATACTCCCTCTGTCATTTGTCTTTGTCGGTCATTGTATATGTTGCTTTTTTTCCTGAGAGTAATCTCTCCTACTATTATCCTGAGTACTTTATATTTTGCACTGTGGGTTTCGTCCCGCTTTAAGCTATGGTGCTTTAATAAATTCAGTAGTTCTAAACCTGCAATTGCCTCCTGCCTACTCCTCTCTGCACGTGACAGAATGACCGACCAAAGAAAACAGGAAGCAGAAGGACATCCTGACCTCTCCGCTGTAGGAGCGAAGCTCTGCCACCACGACTTGTGCCTGGAGCGCCTCGGGACTGCCTTGGACAAGGTGCTCCGGGCCGTACGCCAACTGCAGGCTACACCACCACCTTCCCAGCTCCCGACGGTCGTTCCAGCCACCCCACCACCATCTACATCACCCGGTCCGATCAGCAACGTCCACCTGCCCCTCCCGGAGTGGTTTGACGGCACCCCAGCTCACTGTAGGAGGTTTCTCCTGCAGTGTGACCTCCACCTTGCCCGTCATGCCGGGACGGCCTCCGAGAGGGACAAGGTGGCCTTGGTGATCTCGGTGCTGACAGGCCGGACTCTAGAGTGGGCGCACATCGTCTGGGAGAGGGATGGTCCAGAAGTGCAGTCCTATGAGTGCTTCACCCAACTCTTCCGTGCCGTCTTCGACCACTCAACAGTGGGCCGAGAGGGAGGTGAGCGTCTCCTCCGTCTACTCCAGCACAGCGTTGGAGTACGCTCTGGATTCCAGACCGAGCTGGCCTGAGCTGGTTCGGGTCTCTCCCAGGAACCTCCAGCGAGACTGAGCCCATGGAGGTGGGCACGATGCACATTCCCCCTGCGAAACTTCAACACCGCCGTCAACACGGTCTCTGCTCCTACTGTGGGGAGTCGGACCACCCCTGGAACACCTGTCCCAGAAGGAGAACCAGGCGAGGAAGCGACAGGCCGAGGAGCGCTCCTGCACCTTCCCAGGTAGGCGTGGACGTGCCTTGCTCCTCTCTGTCCACCCAGCCCGTCCTCCTCCCTGTCACCTTCCTGGACTATCCTTGTCCCCCACTGAGTTTCTGCCCTAGTGGACTCAGGTGTTGCAGGTAATTTCCTAGACCGGTCAGTGGCCTTATCATTATGCATTCCACTAGTCCCTTTACAACCCCCTATCCCAGTCCATGCCCTAGACAACCGTCCCCTAGGAACAGGACTGGTGAGCCAGACCACGATTCCCATTTCCCTCACAGTTGATCACAACCACCATGAACGCATCACGCTCCTCATCTTAGACTCTCCTGCACACCCTGTAGTTTTCGGTCACCCCTGGTTACAGTTGCGTAACCCCAGTATATCGTGGACAGAGGAGGTTGTTGGGTTGGTCGCAGGAGTGTCAGGGGAGGTGTCTCTTGCTGTCACCTTCGTGGAAAGTCCGGACCAGGCCACCTACATCCCTATTCTGGAGGAATACCGGGACCTACAGGTGGCTTTTTCGAAGACACGTGCCTGCCCCCTCATCGCCCATGGGACTGCACTATTGACCTACTGCCTGGTTCTACGCTACCGCTGGGGCACATCTACTCTCTCTTGCATGCAGAGACCGAAGCCATGGAGATCTACATCCAGCAGGCGCTGGCCCAAGGATTATTTTGTGAAGAAGGACAGAGGTCTCCACCCCTGTATCGATTACCGGACACTGAATAAGGCTACGGTTAAATGCAGTTATCCCCTGCCTCTCATACCCACTGTGATCGAACAGATGCACAGTGCTAAGTACTTTACCAAATTGGATTTATGCAGTGCCTACAACCTGGTGCGCATCAGAGAGGGGGATGAATGGAAGACCGCCTTCAGCACCAGCACCGGGCACTACGAATACAGGGTAATGCCCTACGGCCTGACAAATGCACCCTCTGTGTTCCAATCCTTCATTAACGAGGTGTTTAGAGATGTGTTGGGTCGCTCTGTAGTGGTGTACATAGACGACATCTTGGTGTACTCCACTACACGCGAGCAACATGTCTCTCATATCAGGTCAGTTTTGGAGAGAATGATAGGGCATCACCTGTACGCCAAGGCGGAGAAGTGCCTTTTCTTCCAGCAGGCGGTCTCCTTCCTGGGCTATCGAATATCCACCATGGGAGTGGAGATGGAAGAGCAGAGGGTCAGTGCAGTACGGTCGTGGCCTGTTCCCTCCAACATCAAGGCGGTGCAGCGCTTCCTAGGTTTTGCCAACTATTTCAGGCGCTTCATTAGGGGTTTCAGCACAGTGATGGCCCTTCTCAACTCCCTCCTGAAGGGAGGTCCTCGACAGCTGCGTTGGACTGGGGAGGCCAACGAAGCCTTTCGTGCACTCAAGGAACGGTTTACGAACGCACCTGGTTCTGGCTCACCCTGACCAGTCTCTGCACTTCATCGTGGAGATGGACGCCTACGAGGTTGGGGTAGGGGCTGTTCTCTCCCAATGTATTGGATCGCCGCCTAAACTCCATCCATGCGCCTTCTAGTCATGGAAGCTGTCTCCCGCGGAGCGGAATTACGATGTGGGGGATTGTGAGTTGTTGGCCGTGAAGAAGGCACTGAAGGCACACTGGCTGGAGGGTGCTCAACACCCATTCCTTGTCTGGACGGACCACTGGAACCTAGAGTACATTCGAGCAGCGAAGAGGCTGAACCCGCGTCAGGCCACGTGGGCCCTATTCTTCACCAGGTTTGACTTTACCCTCTCCTACCGGCAGGGATCTAAGAACGTTAAGGCCGATGCGTTGTCCCGGGTGCATGACACAGAGGATCGGAGGGAGAAAGTGACACCCATTATTCCCCTGTCCCGCATTGTGGCTCCTGTCGTGTGGAACGTGGACATGGACATCCGTCAAGCCCTGCGACAGGAGCCCTCACCTGCCCACTTTCCCGAGGGGCGTATCTACATGCCCTCTGATGTGCGGGACCGTCTCTTTTCGCCTGGGCACACACAGCACCTGTGTCGGGGCACCCGGGTATAGCCCGTACTATCAACTCTCTCTGCCAAGTACTGGTGATCCACCTTGGCCCGGGATGTCCGGGTTTATGTCTCTTCCTGCTCCACCTGCGCACAGAGCAAGACACCGAGACACCTCCCCTATGGCAAACTCCACCCGCTGCCGGTACCAAAATGACCCTCGTCCCTTCTCTCCGTGAACTTTGTGGCGCCTCGTGGGGGGGGAGTGGTACTCACCAGCCTTCGCTTTGGCTCCCCCTCCTGTCCAGCTCACGCGTTCGGCGTCGCCGGCCTTCTAGTTGCTGCCAAACCTGCTGCTGGCAAACGCCATTCACTCATCAACCCTGGACTTGTCTCGTCATCATTACACACACCTGGTTCCAATCCCCACTCTATCACTGTATATATACTCCCTCTGTCATTTGTCTTTGTTGGGCATTGTATATGTTTCTTGTTTTCCTGAGCGGAATCTCTCCTACTATTTCCTGAGTACTTTATATTATGCACTGTGGGTTTCGTCACGCTTTAAGCTATGGCGCTTTAATAAATTCAGTAGTTCTAAACCTGTGACTGCCTACTCCTCTCTACACATGTGACAGGTGGCATGTCTTGTGTGGTATGTATGAGTGTCTGAGCTAAACAGACAGTTCGGTACCTTTAACACGTCAATACCTCTCACAAAGACCAGTAGTGATGCAGTTCATCTTTCCTCTACTTTCAACCAGGAGAGATTGATATGCATATTATTGATATTAGCACTCCGAGTACATTTAAGGGCCAGATGTTGCTGCTTTGTTCTGGGCCAACTGTAATTTGCCTAGGTCCCTCTTTGCAGCACTTGACCATATAACTGGGCACTAGTCCAGGTATGATACAACTATGGCCTGTAGAACTTGTTTGGTCTATTATGATGTAAAGAAAGCAGAGCAGCACTTTATCACGGACATACCATAACATTGTGCTTAAACTCTTGTTCTTATCATGGCCATCCATGGTCCCTCAGACAGGGTTTTTGTAAGGTTGGTCCTTTCATGACGACCGAATAGGGGGGAATCTGTGGTTACAAGCTTTCGTTTTTATCTCTTGCAAAATGTATATAAATACCTGCATTTCCTAACTGAATTATGCCTGATATTATAATAATGCATAGAAAAGTGAAATCAGTCAAAATGTTGTTTCTCCACCAAATATAGATTTTAGAGCAGTAAGAAGTGTCATACTGATTTATTGCATACTTCATTGAATACCATTTCATTGAGAAACTGCAGACTGCCCATGGACTAATTGTGGCATGTAGTGATCCACAAAATTGGCTAGCCATAATGCTATGTTCATAACGAAGTGGGTAGGTGGTAATTTCCTGTTGTGAAGTAGTACATATGAGTTAGATGCAGTCAAGTGCTTTGAACTCGTTGAGAAACACTGATTGGCTAATAGCAAACAAGCTGCGTCAACCATACACTAAAAGTACAGCTATCATGCTTGCAAACAAATTATAGTGTTCCAAAACCATATTAATAGATTGCTTTTTATAAATAATGTTTTGTTGAATTTAACTGCCGAAAATGCTGTTATCGTGGTCATTTCCCTTAGTAGGTGACGTCAGAGGACAGCATGTTGGAGAAGTGGGAGCTCAGGATGATGGATGAGTTTCCTACTAGTAATTAGGAGTTGGAGGGCAGTTCAAGTGGATTTTTCTGTCATATGTGGATAATTTGGTTATAAACTCAGGATAAAAGCCCGTTAATTTGGGCAACATAATTGATAGGCATTATCTCCAATAGAGATTACTAAAATTGATATTTGGTTCATTTATTGGATTATACACTGACCAGCCTCTAACTGTTGATCCAATTTTTACAAATCTAGTTGATTGACGATTATTTTGACCAATGATAATTCAGTATGTCATTTTGGGTGGATCTTTCAAGAGTGAGGGGTGGGATTTTCGAGGTCATTCAGTACCTCGGCGTGCGTTTGAGGGGACGGGTGGTTGGAGTGGAAGGAGTTGCCGGGCGATAGTGCATCACAAACGCTTTTTTCGGGAGGATTCTTCATGCAAAATTGTACTTCAAAATAAAATAAAGGAATCCCTGCGACGTCTTTCTACAAAAATTTCACATTTATACGCCTGTTTTAACATCCCCGCAAGTGACGGAATCAAGGCGTTGGTGATAGCTAACATTTCCCTCACGTAGCAAGCTAGCATTATTAGTTTACTAGCTTTGAAGCACATTGCAACTTGACCGCCGCGGTCCCCGTCTCAACGCAGGACAGCACCTTGCTTGTGCGGTTGCACGCCAGCTAACAAAGCTATCGATAGTTTGCTGGAGACTGTATCTACCTATCTGTTGATCCCATTAACACCCAAGTCCCCAACCCCCTTCACCCCTCTCCCTCCACCACCCGAAACACTGGAAATCCACAAGCGGTTGGAGAGCGGCGACGGGCCAGCGGCTGCGAAGCTGGGGGTGGTACCGGAACCGCACGGAGTCGTAGCGGCTTCAGAAAAGACCAGTCGTGGGGACCTAACGTTACCGACTACTATGGACGGGCTGGCGGTGGAGGTTCGCGGTTCGAACGGGGCCTTCTACAAGGTAAAGGAAATAACTAGTGTAACTAAGTTAGTAATGCGCTAGTTGACGTTAGACAATTACACATATGAATATGTCGACAGTGTTTTGTTTTAACTACAGTAACTAGCTAGTTAGAATATCGTCGTTAGCTAGCTGGCAGATTCGGGTCGCATCATTCATTGAGTAGGCCCAACATCAAATGATAAGGTCGCTATTCATAGATTTCTTCTTCGTCAGGGTTGGCCATTGTGGTGAACGCTTGTCGTGGCCTGTTTTTGCTAGCTAAATTCCAAATGTCTTGGCTATGCTTTGTCTGTTTGGGCTGTTCAGTTAGCTAACGTTAGCCAGTTAGCTACCTATTCTGGCATCGCCAAACATCTCGGGCACTCCTTTCTTTGGTTGGAGTTGCTAGCTAACCTCTCAAATTTGCGAGAATGAGGGTGGTAGAATGATGCCACATCTGAAATGCTGATACCAAATGAAATATCGATCTGTTTGTTTGCTCTCCCGGTTTTTCCCGACCAATATCTTTTTTTTCTTTTAATTATCTTTCCAAGGAGTAGGCTGAGTCAGCCTGGGTTGTTATTCCAGTGAATCAAATTACTTACTTTGATAGCCATGTGACTGACTGACACTCTCTGTTACCAAAAAATAATCACACCACAATGGCCTACTAACTGTAAGTGACTAAACACGGGGAAGTCAATGCATTCATTTTCAGTATGAGGATGTCAGTCCTTTTATTTCAAATGAATTCATTCAATGTCTGTGCCAAATGGTTGCTGTAGTGTAAGTGTGTGTACTTGGCAGACTGTTGAATAGGCCCTAGTGATTTGCTATGGGTTGAATGGCCCAGGGCTGACAGTGACTGAGGGACTGAATCAGGTGTTGGTGGAACAGATGATCCTAATCTCAACACTCCGCCAGTCAGTCAACGCTGTAGTCCTCCCCCTCTCCATGCTCTCTTCCTATCCCTCTTCTCCCCTCATCTTTCCATTCTGTCATTCTCTACCTCTTTCGTTTAGCCCCCTAGCTCACTTGTTTCCTCACTCTTTCCTGTCTTTTCTCTAGTTCCTCTCCCCTATCATTGACTCATGGTTTATACTATTTTTACTCTCTTCTCACCTGTTGTTCTGTTTACTGGCTGCCAGTTTAGCACTCCGTCCTGAAAGTACATGTTCCATTCACCCTTATTTATCTCCCCTCTCTCTCACTCTTGTTCATATAACACACCATTGTCTGATACCCCTCAAGTTCCCTAAAACCTTTGGTATTTTCTATATATTTAGAGTAGTTCTGTTTCGCCATGTGTATTCTAAAGGTGTGATGATGATTTCCAGAGGAACCAGATTGGTTGGGTAGTTTAGGTGAAGACAACATGCCTCATGCCTTGCACATGCTTAACACACACAACTACAATCCTCTTCAGCGCTGTTGTTTCTGCACGGTCATAATAACCCATACACAGATGCCAAAAGGAAAATCCTGCTATACCAGTAATGACAGGGGTGTGTGTAGCGTAGACCTGGCACCCCCACACCAGAGCGGACCCATCTTTGGGCATGTGGGGAGTTCTAGTCCTCCTGGAGCAGCACATGGCTGGAGAAGGAGTGACATCACTGTATGAATGACCACTCTAACCTCTGTGCTCTCCTGGGTCATGTGACCATCACTGTCATGCCAAATGGTTTGCCTGACCCTTGACCTGGTAGTAGAATGGAACACTCTTCATTACGTCACACAGCACATGTGGCTACTTCAGCAGGCCCTATAATGGAATATAGCTGTTAGGCCTATCTCCTTTCTTCAACCAAGGCAGCTATCAGGACAGTGTTTTTTCACCCTGTGGTAGCTACTAGCTATCCAGTCTCTGTGCCCATGCCTGCAGTTTGAGTGACAGCGACACAAACGGTGGCTGTTTGTGTTGTGACAGTGCAGTTCAATCTGGCTTCCATCTGGCTCTTTGGCCATCTCTCTCTGGGGCCTGAGAAAGCGGCAGCAGAGCTGTGAGAAGTTACTGTGAGATTGTGTGATATGAGGGAATCTGATGCTAAGGGATTTCATACGTAGCCTAATGCTCGTGCAGACTGCCTCCTGAAAGCTAAGCAGGTTTTCCTGGGAAGTGCAGGCCCTTTCATTTCCAGCAGGTGAAACTCCCTCACCTTTGACACTCCCTCTCATGCCCTAGTGCCACTGCCAGCGACGTCGGCCCCATATAAGGCAGTGTAACACTGAGCACCGTGGCAACCCCCCCACGTCGCTCCACTCTACTCCCACCCTGATGGAGAGTTTATGGCACTGTGATAGGTTTGTGGAGGGCTGACTGTGATGGATGAGGAACAGATTTGGAGGATGGGTCTCTCGTAATGGCTGTTTATCAAGGATACAGTATCGCCTGACTTTCTCCAGTGGGGACAGTCGTGTGCACTTTTGATACACATGTAGTCAGACCTGTTTTTACCCTCTGACAACACACACCAAGCTCTCATTTTAATTTAATAAATGTGTCTGTCCACCACAGCAGGACTGTCTGTACTGCTGTCAAGATAATTCAGAGTTATTTGCCACTTCCCCAGAGCGCTCTCACAGCCAGAGAGAAATTTCAGTGATGTTATATCTCTCTGTCCCCAAGATGGCTACACTGTCTTTTCAGTAACAGTCATAGTTAATTCCTGGTTTATGAGTGTCCCCGTTAAGCCCTCTGCACTCCCATCAGTCAGGGGTGTAGACTGTTGGCTAACATAACATTTGAGTTGTTCTCTTCTTTTTCAGGGGTTCATCAAAGATGTCCACGAAGACTCACTCACAATAGTATTTGAAAACAAGTAAGTTTTCATTCTCTCTGACATAATGTGTAGAGTAGACCCTCTGCTTGTGTGGTTACTGACTCACAGAAGATCCATCCTAGTACACACTACCACCAGTCTAGCCACACTGCTCAAGTCATCAGTCTCTTCCCCCAGTCCTTTGGCCTAGTTTTACCCCCTCCTCCTGAAATCCCCCTGTTTCAGCACCACCTGTGGTCTGGACACAGCTGTCCACAAAACCCTTTATAGTTGTCCCCCCCCTCTTTCTGGAACTCATATCCCCCTGTCCTGTTCCATCCCATCTCACTAGCCACCCTCCTTCTACCCCCGTTCCTCTTTCTCTAGTTGACTCTGTAAATATAGTCCCCTGCTAAATATAGTGCCCTGTGGTATGCAGGCAGGGGGGCTGGACAGTGGCCCCTGCCATTCTTGGGATGGCTCTGCCGTTCCAACAACCTCCCTCCCTCCTGTCCTCTTGCCTTGTGGAAGTGTTGGAGTAGCTGGTTGTGTAAGATACTACGTGAATGAAAACCATGCTTTCTATGAGAATGCCTGCTTCTGCTCCTTGACACTATTTTAAGAATGTCTAGTTCATATTTGAACCACTTTGACCTCAAAATAGGGTTGACCTGTACACTATATCGGCTAGCTAGCCTATAATACAGCAATGATGAACCACCTCACATTGTACATAAATATCTTTCTGTGAATTTGAAGCCAGTAGGTTGAACTCAGCCGCAGTCCAGTGGGCTGTTTTTAGACCGAGCTCTCGTTTTGAGTGTTTTATGTAAAAGGACACGCTACTAACCTACCGGATATCCTATTTTTATTTATTATTTATATCCTAGTTGTATAATCTACTGATGATTATCATATATATACAGTCTTCCCGTAGATAAATGATCTACTGTAGATTATAGGTGTTGTCTTAGGATCATTACCATATATAATCCAGTAACTCTATTAGGTTAATGGCTTTCCCCTTCTTGTAAATTTGCATTACTCTCTTTCCCTGGCCCCCACTGACTGACTGTCACCAAGTGATTTGTCTGTCAGCTAGAGAACACTGCTTCAGGCAGAATAACTATTAAGCCTTAGTTATGTTAGGGGTTGACACGCTTTTTGGTCTGTCTCCTGTGTTTCTTTGTGGTACTTTCATTAGGGTCTGTGTTCAGGAAGTTTCTGCTACACACACCCCCCAGAAGAGACTGGTGGAAGGAGCTATAGGAGGATGTGCTCATTGTAATGGCTGGAATGGAATCAATGGAACAGAGTCAAACACATTGTTTCCATGCGTTTTATGTTTCGTACCATTCCATTTATTCCAGCCATCACAATGAGGCCATCCTCCTATAGCTCCTCCCACCAGCCTGCTCTGACACACCTATACACACACACACTTTATTCTGGACCTAACTGGTGTGGTGATTGATGTCTGTCAGTGTAATATAAAGTGTTGGACAGGAGGTGAGCTTTCATAAATCACATGACAGGAAGAGGGGGTCAGCTGATGTTTCTCCTGTTGTGACTGAAAGGTGTTTGTTTGTTTCCCCTGTCCCCATCTCTATCTCGTTCTCTCCTCCTTGCCGTTATCTCTCTCCCTCTCTCCCTGTCCCCCCAAAAAGCTGGCAACCAGAGAGACAGCTGCCCTTCAGTGACGTTCGGCTGCCGCCCCCAGCCGACTACCACAAGGACATTGGCGAGGGAGAGGAGGTGGAGGTACGTCTGCCTGCTCGTGTTATTATGTCCCCATATTCTCCAGACACCGCTATCTCCCGCTAGGGTTGTAAAACAGATTCCAGAAACGTTCCAGGAATCTTCCAACTGGGAATTCTGGGGAAACCTGGGAATTTTGTGAACGTTTCTGGAATTTTGCAACCAATTCCCTTCATTATTGTCTGAGGGCCAGGTGTTTTTCCTCACCATGTGACCTGACCAGAAAGACAGGGAAAACTCCTACCTGTGTTGGTTTCTACCTCCTGTTTAGTCTACTACCACACAGTCCGTGCTATTCAAGATCTTTGGGATGTCCCTGCCCCATTGAAGTTGACATTTTTAAAAGGGTTAAGTTTAGGTAAGGGTAGGGGACGTCTCATGGATCCCGGATAGCAATGACCATGCCCACATAAAGCATACCATACCACACATGAATCACTATCAGTGGTTTAGTTTGCTTCCTCCGTCGTGATTCCATTCATAGCTGGAGATTACTACCCGTGAGCCCGGGTCCTAGCCAGTCCAGAGATTACCCAGAGTCCTGTTCACTACGGCAGAGCGATGTAGAGACGGATTAACCACAGTCCAATTTAGACATGATTAGCCAACTAGGATTCCATTCTTCATCACAGCAGCACTCTCATCATCATCACCATAGAGACAAACTCCATCTCACTGTAAATATCATATATATCATACATCCACAATTATCACTTTACACAATCTTTTGCCTGACCTGAAAGTAAAGTGGATGGTTAATGTTAAATGGTAGATTTCAGAAAGTTCTCCCTCCCTCTTTTTGTAATTGTCCAGGTATCATTGGTCTGGTGTCATCCTTGCTGTCTGCATCCCTAAGCAGGTATTAGGGTTGCAAAATTACGGTAACTTTCCAGGTTTTTTAGAAATCTCATTGGGAAGATTCCTGGAATCAGGATGAAATAAACAGGAAATCCATAATTTCTGGGAAACCTGGGAGTTACTGGAATTTTGCAACCCTAGCAGGTATAAACATCTGTCTAGGTATAATCATCTCTCCTGTCGTCTACCCCTCCAACAGGTGTACTCGAGGGCCAACGATCAGGAGCCATGTGGCTGGTGGCTGGCCCGGGTGAGAATGATGAAGGGAGAGGTGAGTCAGGGACTGGTGAGTTAGGGGTCGGGTGCACGCTGGGGTCGGCATGGGGTCGGTAGGGGGGGGCACTGTGTGAGTGTGATTTTATATTTTTCCTGTGTGTGTGCTTGTGTGCAACATGGTCGGGTCTTACGCTCTTATGTGAACAGAGGTGATGAACATCCCTGTATCTCAACCAAGACTTTGGTGTATTGTTGCGAAATAGTCCTCTTTTAATGTTCCTGATCAATCGAAGTGGTCATTTGTGCAATGTCATGTGCATGTTGTGTGATGCAACAGCGTTTTACACACCCGCCCCGTCCACTATGGGATACCCCTCAGTCATCCCTTTGGATAGACCCACAGACAGCAGTCTAATGTAGGCTAATTGGGTTAACTAACGCAGCAGGAAGCATGTGGTGTTTAAAGCAGGCATGCACATACTGTAGGGTCACATAGACGACACACAGTCTACATTCCATATTGACCCCTAGCACTTCTGTAGATCCCACCTAGTCTATGAGAAGGAAAGCTGAAGCAACTACCATTGTTTAAACCTTTCCAATCCTCCCAGATCTTCTGGAGTGGCTATTGAGTAGGAGCCTAAGGTTGATTTTGGAATTCAGCGACTAACATAAAACACTATTACCTGTCTGACACACTGGGTGCGTCCCTATGCTTACTATATAGTCACAGTTCACTATGTTTTAACCAGAGCCCTGGCCAAAAGTAGTGCACTATTAGGACGCAACCACTTTGTCCTCCAGACAGGCAGACTGACCCTGGGTCAGTAGAATGAGACTGAGGAGGTGTTAAGGCTTCCTCATGCTTCGGTTTGGCTGGCGCCGTACTTAAATCGGCTAGGCCAACCGAACAAGTCTGCACGCATACTTAAAAAAAAAAAAAGACCTTTGCTTGAAAACCGAGAGCGGCAATAGAACTGTTTGTTCGTCTTGAGACACCGTAGCCAGTATACACTTCCTCAAAATAGTCCGAATTAATCTAAGATGACTCAAGAAATCTGTCAAATGTTTACGATTTTGCGGAGGAGATCTAAGTCGCGCAATTTCCCGTCTAACTAAGATGTTTGTTGCAGTATTTCTCAATGAAACACTGCATGAAAACGAGTGGTCTATCGTTGAATGACAAAAAACACTTAATTGAAGAATCCCTACTGTTGACTTCGGCTCCAAACTTCGGCTTGGCTCAAAAAAATGTGTGTGCACGAACAGCCGAAAAAGATACCTTGCCGAAGACCAAAACGAACAGAAATGTCACAATGTCGTCATAATATATGCAAAAACTGTTCCGAACTGTTTCGGATGGGAAGTCTTTAGTGAGGCTTGATGCTGGTTTTTACCACTGCATTTTGATCAGCGATAAAGGCTTGTTGGGATGTCAGCTTTGTTGAGTGATGGTTTTTATACTGGCCTTAGAGCATGGTATGTGGAGTTCCATCTCTCTCTCTCGCTCTTTCTTGCTCTGAAGGGTCTAGGAAAATGACTATTGGTTCATTTATCACATGAATAAGACCTTAGCTGAATTACATTTTAAAGATAAGTGCCATTTCTGATTAACCTGGCCCCAAAACCCTATGAATATTCAATGTCATGGAGAAGTAAGTTGTCTTGTGTGTGGAATGAGTAATTGCAGTCTTTTGGTCTGTTTTAGATTTTTTTTGCCGTGTTTGCTCCCTAGGTAGTTGGGTAGTAGTACCTCGTCTAGCCTAACACAATATAGGCCCCCTTTCTTATTATTCGGCACATTAACGTTTAGTTCTCTTGCCATTTCTCAATCTCTGAACCCTTGTTATTTGAAATGACGTTGTTTGTTTATTAATAAAGGTATATGGTGGAGCTTATGTGTATGCATGCTCTGTATAAAATAAATATACATTGTATGATCCTTGTTATTTTCCCTATATTTATATTAATCTGGGTCTGTTTCTATTTATTAAATACTCTTTAGTACATACTGTTAGGCTTTCTTTCTCTTGCAATTTCGCTATCTCTGAGAACCCTCTCTCTATTTGAACCCTTTAGTTCTACGTCATCGAGTACGCAGCCTGCGACGCCACATACAACGAGATAGTCACGCACGAACGCATCCGGCCCGTAAACCCCAACAGCCCTTCCTCCCGAAACTCCTTCCACAAGGTCCCCATCGCCATCCCAGAAGACCTACGAAACATGTGAGTTTGACCTCTGACCCCGGCAGTGCACTACACCAGCCTCACCACTGGGGCGGCGCTGTAGCACTGCACTCAGATTGAACGACGAGAGGCAACATGTTACTCCACTGTGAAGGGGTTCTTGTTAGACAGTTATACACATCGAAATGTTTTCATTGGAGCTTTGTCTTTTTGGGCAGGCCAACAGTCTCACAGTAGCTACATGGTGCACTGTTGTTGTGAATAACTGTGGTTTGACCCGAGTTCTTTTTTTAACCAACAGCTGTGCGAACGACAACATCCACAAAGACTTCAGGAAAGCCATCGGAGCCAACTGCATTTTCTACAGTGCAGCCTCACACGAGCTCATCGTGCTGGTCAGCATCACAACCACTACTACTTTCAGGGCCTGTATTCACTAAGCTTCTCAGAGTAGGAATGCTGATCTAGGATCAGTTTGCCTTTTAGATCAGTATTAGAAAGATTACATGGACAGGGGGGACCTGATCCTAGATCAGCACTCCTACTCTGAGACATATTTTGAATGTGCTACAAGGCTAGTCTTTCTAGTATTGTCCCTTTCTTTCTGTAAACAGCTTTTTCAGACTAACACTTTCTCTTTCTCTAGTCAACGAACGAGACAACTGTAAAGCGTGCTGCTCTCCTGAGCGACATGCACTTCCGCAGCATCCGTACCAAGCTCATGCTCATGTCCCGCAACGAAGAAGCCACTAAACACCTTGAGGTATACACACAAACACTTCTCCCCTCATGTTCATTCAATTAGATTCAAACACGCATGAGAATGTAACTTGGAGACTGGCCATCAACATGCACACTACCGGTCAAAAGATGTAGAACACCTACTTATTCAAGGGTTTTTCTCTATTTCTACTATTTTCTACATTTGTAGAATAATAGTGAAGACATCAAAACTATTAAATAACACATGAAATCATGTAGTAACCAAAAAAGTGTTAAACAAATGAAAATATATTTCATATTTGAGATTCTTCAAATAGCCACCCTTTGCCTTGATGACAGCTTTAAACACTCTTGGCATTCTCTCAACCAGCTTCACTTGGAATGGAGTTCCCACATATGCTGAGCACTTGTTGGGTGCTTTTCCTTCACTCTCCGGTCCGACTCATCCCAAACATCTCAATTTGGTTGAGGTCGGGGGATTGTGGAGGCCAGGTCATCTGATGCAGCACTCCGTCACTCTCCTTCTTGGTAAAATAGCCCTTACACAGCCTGGAGGTGTGTTGGGTCATTGTCCTGTTGAAAAACAAATGATAGTCCCACTAAGCCCAAACCAGATGGGATGGCGTATTACTGCAGAATGCTGTGGTAGCCATGCTGGTTAAGTGTGCCTTGAATTCTAAATAAATCACAGACAGTGTCACCAGCAAAGCTCCCCCACACCATCACACCACCTCCTCCATGCTTTACGGTGTGAAATACACATGCGGAGATCATCCGTTCACCCATACCGCGTCTCACAAAGACACGGCTGTTAGAACCAAAAATCGCAAATTTGGACTCCTGACCAAAGGACACATTTCCAGCGGTCGAATGTCCATTGCTCGTGTTTCTTGGCCAAGCAAGTCTTTTCTTCTTATTGGTGTCCTTTAGTAGTGGTTTCTTTGCAGCAGTTCGACTATGAAGGGCTGATTCACGCAGTCTCCTCTGAACAGTTGATGTTGATGTCTGTTACTTGAACTCTGTTAAGCATTTATTTGGGCTGCATTTTCTGAGGCTGGTAACTCTAATGAACTTATCCTCTGCAGCAGAGGTAACTCTGGGTCTTCCATTCCTGTGGTGGTCCTCGTGAGAGCCAGTTTCATCATAGCACTTGGTTTTTGCGACTGCACTTGAAGAAACTTTCAAAGTTCTTGAAATTGTCTGTATTGACTGACCTTCATGTCTTAAAGTAATGATGGACTGTCGTTTCTCTTTGCTTATTTGAGCTGTTCTTGCCATAATATGGACTTGGTATTTTACCAAATCTTCTGTATACCCCCCCCTACCTTGTCGCAACTGATTGGGTCAAACGCATTAAGAAGGAAAGAAATTCCACAAATTAACTTTTAAGAAGGCACACCTGTTAATTCAAATGCATTCCAGGTGATTACCTCATGATGCTGGTTGAGAGATTGCCAAGAGTGTGCAAAGCTGTCATCAAGGCAAAGGGTGTCTATTTGAAGAATCTCAAATATAAAATATATTTTGATTTCTTTAACACTTTCTTGGGTACTACATGATTCCATATGTGTTATTTCATAGTTTTGATTTAGTTACAATGTAGAAAATAGTAAAAATAAAGAAAAACCCTTGAATGAGTAGGTGTTCTAAAACTTTTGACCGGTAGTGTAGACACACACACTGACACCCTATTGTCCTTGTCCCCCAGACCAGTAAGCAGCTGGCGTCCGCGTACCAGGAGGAGGTGAAGGTAAGGGAAGACCTGATGGGTCTGGCCATTGGCTCCCACGGTGCCAACATCCAGCAGGCTAGGAAGGTTCCCGGCGTCACCGCCATCGAACTGGAGGAGGAGAGCTGCACCTTCAGGATCTACGGAGAGGTGGGTGGGTATGTTTGGGTGAGAGCGGGGTCTTGATGTGTGTGTGTGGCAGGCTGTCAGTCGCTCTCTCTCTGTGTTTAATAGCAGGTTGCATTGATGTTGTGTTTGCGTTGCAGACCCCAGAAGCAGTGAAGCTGGCCAGGGTTTTCCTGGAGTTCAAAGAAGACTACTTCCAGGTGCCCAGGAACCTCGTAGGTGAGTCGACACCCACACCCATGATTTAGTCAATCAGAAAAGGTCCTGCATATACATGTATTGAAAAACAATGATTACTATCTGAATTGTGCCATCTTTTATAATTTGATATAAACTTGACTCTTCCAACTAATCCTTGGTTTCCAAATGTCCCCTCTTCTACCTCGCTCTTCTCTTCCAGGCAAAGTGATCGGCAAGAACGGCAAAGTCATCCAGGAGATTGTGGACAAGTCGGGGGTGGTGCGGGTCCGGATCGAGGGGGACAATGACAAAAAGCTTCCCCGTGAGGAGGTAGGCAGGCAGGGGGCTGGCAGAGAAGACACTGCCCCTAAACAAGAGGTGAATGGAGCGCTGGGGCTGCCCAAACAACTGTAACCTTACCAGGGTGCTAGCTTCTGTTTCCACCGTCACCACCAACGCTGTCCTTTTGACTGTTAGACTCTGTTGTAAGGTTGCACAATACCGGTAACATTCCTAAAATGCAGAGGTTTTCCAGAAATCCCTGTAGGAAGATTCACGGAATCACAAGAGAATAAGCAGGAAATGCAGGAATGCTTCAACCGGGATTTATGGAATTTTGGAGGAGTAACCAGAATTTTGCAATCCATAGGCTCTGTCTGTCGATGCTGTCACAGTTGTCCCATTTCAGTTTCCACAGCATGTCTGTACTGTACGTTACCCGTTCTAGGGGGGGGTTGGCTGTGGTCGCTCCATCGGTTGGTGTATGTCACTGTTCAGTGTGCTTCCCCTGTGATTGTGAGCGTACACGCAAGTCCACTTTCTTTTCAGAAAATGTCAGTTCAAAGAGAACCCTCTTTCATTCTATGTATTTCTACATCAACGTAAAGACACCATTTCTTTGGCCTTTACGAAAATGCACAAATGCGTCCAAATGTCCATGACTAAACATCAGGACTCGCCCACCTCCAAATGTATAATGAAGCGTAACAGTCTACCAGTCCACTCTCTCACACCCTCTCCTCCTTCTCTCCAGGGCATGGTCCCCTTCGTCTTTGTGGGAACTAAAGAGAACATCAGCAACGCCCAGGCCCTACTGGAGTACCATGTGGCCTACCTACAGGTGAGACGCGCACACACTGAGAGGGGAGCGATCACCGCCAGACCAATAGGGGGCAGCACTCAGGCCTGACCTCTGCTCATGTCAATTAAACATCGGACCCGTCTCTGTTACGACACTTTCTGCTATATATTGACCCTATATGCCTTTGAATATATAAAGAGTAAGCCTAAGGCACTGAATGACTGTGGGCAAATGGCCTGAAATATACACGCATGGTAGGAGTTCCCCTTACCCACAGATCTAGGATCAGATTACCCAACCCCCCAATGCTAACCTTAACCATTAAAGGAATGAAAAAATATCTGACCCTGAATCAGGGGCAAGTTCTAGTCTACCTACTTTTGTGTGGACACTCATGGAAGACTGTGTCTTACACTGGTTGGTATTCTTCTGTGTACTCTACACACCATCACCTCTGTATGGGGAGAGGGGAGTAGAGGCAGTCTGGAGTGGGTGGAGGTGTCAGATCATTCCAGATTGGTTACCTGTCCCCCCTCCACCCACCCTCCTCCACCTACCTCATGTGAAAGCTGCTGAGAGCGACTCCATTTTGCCCTTACCCTGTGCTTTTAAAAATAGTCCCCTACTCAGGGTTGGGACAAGGGGGAGAGGAGGGGGTAGGAGTGTAGATTACAGGATATCTGGACCCTAGCCTCCAAAAATAACACCCCCTCTACTCATCCTTGCACCCGCTCACCCATAGTCAGCCACCTCCCACAAGGCTCAGCGGCGGCAGCTGTCGCATTCTGAAGTGACACCCTCCAACCCCCCACCCCCACCCTCAACCACCTAACCAAAAGGCCCCAGTAAACTGCTGTCAGTGCACTTTAGCCCCATCCCTAAGACTCCTAAACTGACCACCCCCTTGTCCACACTGCAGAAGCCGTCTAAGGTTGCATCCCAAATGGCGCCCTATTGCGCCCTATTCCCTTTTGTAGTGCACTACTTTTGAGCAGGGCGCATAAGTATGGGTGGGTCCCTGTATGTAGGCAAAATAAATGAATTATCAAATCATATACAGTGAGGGGAAAAAAGTATTTGATCCCCTGCTGATGTTGTACGTTTGCCCACTGACAAAGAAATGATCAGTCTATAATTTTAATGGTAGGTTCATTTGAACAGTGAGAGACAGAATAACAACAACAAAATCCAGAAAAAAGCATGTCAAAAATGTTATAAATTGATTTGCATTTTAATGAGGGAAATAAGTATTTGACCCCCTCTCAATCAGAAAGATTTCTGGCTCCCAGGTGTCTTTTATACAGGTAACGAGCTGAGATTAGGAGCACACTCTTAAAGGGAGTGCTCCTAATCTCAGTTTGTTACCTGTATAAAAGACACCTGTCCACAGAAGCAATCAATCAATCAGATTCCAAACTCTCCACCATGGCCAACCAAAGAGCTCTCCAAGGATGTCAGGGACAAGATTGTAGACCTACACAATGCTGGAATGGGCTACAAGACCATCGCCAAGCAGCTTGGTGAGAAGGTGACAACAGTTGGTGCGATTATTCGCTAATGGAAGAAACACAAAATAACTGTCAATCTCCCTCGGCCTGGGGCTCCATGCAAGATCTCACCTCGTGGAGTTGCAATGATCATGAGAATGGTGAGGAATCAGCCCAGAACTACACGGGAGGATCTTGTCAATGATCTCAAGGCAGCTGGGACCATAGTCACCAAGAAAACAATTGGTAACACACTACGCCGTGAAGGACTGAAATCCTGCAGCGCCCGCAAGTCCCCCTGCTCAAGAAAGCACATATACATGCCCGTCTGAAGTTTGCCAATGAACATCAGAATGATTCAGAGGAGAACTGGGTGAAAGTGTTGTGGTCAGATGAGACCAAAATGGAGCTCTTTGGCATCAACTCAACTCGCCGTGTTTGGAGGAGGAGGAATGCTGCCTATGACCCCAAGAACACCATCCCCACCGTCAAACATGGAGTGCTGTGGAAATTCACCACTATACTTTATTAACAATCAAAGATCTTACAGAGTTTTTGTTGAATCAAGATTTACTTTATTGAATTTCAATAAAAGGAAGCTGGTCTGCAGAGTAGCCTCTCCCTCCCTCTCTCCATCTTATATAGTACCCTCCAGACACCCTAGCTTTAAAATCCCTCCCTCTTCAGTTTCCTGCTCTTTTATTGCTCCGCCCACTCCCTTTGTTTATGGTGGCGGCTAAATTTGACTTTCATTCAGTTCAGAATCAATAGTAATACACTCAATCAATCCCTTATCTTGCAAAAACACTCATGTTTAGTTTAAACTGTTCAACCCGGGCACCACTCTTTATCACTTTGTTTGAGGAGAGAGACAAAAGGCCACAGGATTAAGTTCTTGCCTAGCCACAGAAAATGTTAACTATATGTTCATGATTAACTCAGTTTTATCTCATAGTCCACTACAAAATCTCCAACAGGAGGTGGAAACATTATGCTTTGGGGATGTTTTGCTGCTAAGGGGACAGGACAACTTCACCGCATCAAAGGGACGATGGGCGGGGCCATGTACCGTCAAATCTTGGGTGAGAACCTCCTTCCCTCAGCCAGGGCATTGAAAATGGGTCGTGGATGGGTATTCCAGCATGACAATGACCCAAAACACACGGCCAAGGCAACAAAGGAGTGGCTCAAGAAGAAGCACATTAAGGTCCTGGAGTGGCCTAGCCAGTCTCCAGACCTTAATCCCATAGAAAATCTGTGGAGGGAGCTGAAGGTTCGAGTTGCCAAACGTCAGCCTCGAAACCTTAATGACTTGGAGAAGATGTGCAAAGAGGAGTGGGACAAAATCCCTCCTGAGATGTGTGCAAACCTGGTGGCCAACTACAAGAAACGTCTGACCTCTGTGATTGCCAACAAAGGTTTTGCCACAAAGTACTAAGTCATGTTTTGCAGAGGGGTCAAATACTTATTTCCCTCATTAAAATGCAAATCAATTTATAACATTTTTGACATGCTTTTTTCTGGATTTTGTTGTTGTTATTCTGTCTCTCACTGTTCAAATGAACCTACCATTAAAATTATAGACTGATCATTTCTTTGTCAGTGGGCAAACGTACAAAATCAGCAGGGGATCAAATACTTTTTTCCCTCACTGTAGATGTTTGCCAGTCCACATAGTCTACACCCATACGGATTTAGTGGGATTAAAATGCATTTCATTGTAATTTTGTCAACGATCTACACAATACTGTGTAATGTCAAAGTGGAATACAATTTTTCTACAAAAAAAAGATTCATGAGAAATAAAACGCTAATATACCTTTTATTAGATAAATATTCACCCCTGAGTCAAGACATGTTAGAAACACTGTTTGCAGCGATTAGATGTGAGTTTTCTTGCGTAAGTCTCATCAGCGCTTTGCACACCTATATTGTGCAATATTTGCCCATTTTAATTTTTTTTAAATTCTTCACGCTCTGTCAAGTTGTTGGGGAACAGCAATTTTCAAGTCTTGCCATTGGCCACTCAGGAACATTCACTGTCTTGGTAAGCAATTGCAGTGTAGATTTGGCTTTGTAGGTTATTGTCCTGCTGAAAGGTGAATTCCTCTCCCAGTGTATGGTATAAAGCAGACTGCAGCAGGTTTTCCTCTAGGATTTTGCCTGTTCTTAGCTCATCCCGTTTATTTTCATCCTGAAAAACTCCCCCGTCTTTGCCAATGTCAGGCATACCCATACCATGATGCAGCCACCAGCATGCTTGAAAATAAGGAGCCAGCTACTCAGTGATGTGTTATGTTGGATTTGCCCCAAACATAAGGCTTTGCAAAAAGTGTAGGCCTTTGCCGTGTTGTTTTTGCAGTATTACTATAGTGCCTTGTTGCATACATATGCATGTATCCCATGTGGCTTAGTTGGAAGAGCATTGTGTTTGCAACGGCCTGGGTTGTGGGTTCGATTCCCACGGGGACCAGTATGTAAAATTACAAAAATGTATGCACTCACTACTGTAAATCGCTCTGAAACATGACGCATTCTCTATTGCACTTCACACTGCCCTTTCACACCTTGACTACAGCTCGGCGTTCAACACCATAGTGCCCTCCAAGCTTATCACTAAGCTAATGATCCTGGGACTGAACACCTCCCTCTGCATCTTGATCCTGGACTTCCTGACGGGCCACCCCAGGTGGTGAGGGTAGCCGCCACGCTAACCCTCAACACGGGGGCCTCCTCGGGTGCATGCTTAGTCCCCTCCTGTACTCCCACGACTGTGGCCACGCATGACTCCAACACCAAGTTTGCAGACAACATGACGGTGGTAGGCCTGATCACCGACGACTGAGACAGCCTGTAGGGACAAGGTCCAAGACCTGGCAGTGTGGTGCCAGGACAACCTTTCCCTCAACGTGAGCAAGACAAAGGAGCTGATCGTGGACTACAGGAAACGGAGGGCCAAGAACGCCCCCATTCACATCGAGGCTGTAGTGGAGTGGGTCGAGAGCTTAACGTTCCTTGGCGTCCACATCACTAAGGATCTATCATGGTCCAAACACACCAACACAGTCGTGAAGAGGGCACAACAATGCCTGTTTCCACTCAGGAGGCTGAGGATCTGAGGTCCCATGCCAAATATTTTCAAAGTTCTACAGCTGCACCATCGAGAGCATCCTGACTGGTTGCATCACCGCTTGGTATGGCAACTGCTCTGCATCCGACTGCAAGGCACTACAGAGAGTAGTATGTACGGCCCAGTACATCACTTGTGCCGAGCTTCCTGCCATTCAGGACCTCTATACCAGGCGGTGTCAGAGGAAGGCCCTAAAACTTGTCAGACTCCACCCTAGTCATAGACTGTTCTCTCTGCTGCCGCACAGGCAAGCGGTACCGGAGCGCCAAGTCTGGGACCAAAAGACTCCTTTACAGCCTCTACCCCCAAAGCTTAAGACTGCTGAACAGTTAATCAAATGGCTACCCGGACTCTTTGCATTGACCACCTTATTTTCTTATTTATTCTTATTTTTTGCACTGACTCTCTTGCTCTGGCTCGACGTACATTCACTGGACTCTAACCACACACACACACGCGTATTGACGCCACACACATACTGTACATTCACATTCCTTCACATTCTTCACATACACTGCTGCTCTTTTATCTATGCATAGTCACTTTACCTACATTTACCTCGACTAACCCGTGCCCTGCACATTGTCTTTGTACCGGTACCCCCTGTATATAGCCTCGTTATTTTGTTACTATTTTTCCTTTTAGTTTATTTAGCAAATTTCGTACATATGGCATTGTTGGTTAAGGGCTCGTAAGTACGCATTTCACGGTAAGGTTGTTCTATTCGGCGCATGTGACAAATAACATTTGGTTTGATGTTTTGGAATATTCTGTATATTTTTATTATTTTCACGCTCATTATTGTGGATTCACTACAATGTTAATCCATCCTCCGTTTTGTCCAATCACAGCCATTGAACGCTGTAGCTGCTTTAAAATCACCAATGGCCTCATGGTGACATCCCTAAGCAGTTTCCTTCCTGTCCTGCAGCTCAGTTCAGCTGGATGACTGCATCTTTAATGTGTCTGGGTGGTTTAATAAATCATAATTATTAACTTGACCATGCTTAAAGATCTATTCAATGTCAGATTTTTTTTGTTACCCATCTACCAATCACTGCCCTTCTTTATGAGGCTTTCAAAAAGCTCCCTGGTCTTTGTAGTTGAATTTGTGCTTGAAATTCAATACTTGACTGCGGGACATTATGTTTGTATGGGGGACATAAAAAGTCATGTCAACCCCTATTTCGCACAGTGAGTCTATATAACAGCCAAATTTGACTTCTGAACTAATTCTGGCTTGCCTAAACAAAGGGGTGAATACTTATGCTATGACTATTTTAGTTATTACAATAATTATTTTTGTATTTTGTGTAGATCAATAACCACGTTTCCAACCATTTCATGCAGATGAATTACCTGACGCGTGAAAAAAGTCACGACCAGGCTGATGGTAACATGAAATGCTAGTACAATTTTATAAATTCCGACAGACAATTTCTTTGTTCGACATGGGCTCTTTTTGTGTCTGTAAAATTAATTATGCGAGAAATGGCGGAAATGCCTTTACGCGCAAATATTGATAGAATAACCATCATATCGAAGTAAACTTGGAGTCACGCCATATGTTGTGTGGTCCTCCCACTACGTCTCGGGAAACCACAGTTTATTGGGCTACATATGAAGGAAGTTACGTGAACTTCACAGTGTGGTGACTGTGCTAGGTGATGAGGTTGATACTCCATTCCAATAAATATTGAGGGTCTGTTTGACAAATGCAAATAATATCGCTCTTCTCCATAATAATCTCAATGTAGGTCAACTACCCGCACTGTATCTGCAAGCTGTTAGCTAGAGCGCTTGTGCCAAGACCAGAGTGAACACATTGGCAATACAACGCAACTGTCAGTTAAATGCGATGGAAACCCATTTAACTTGTACTTATCATTCGGGACATGGGAATTTAATGGCAGAAGTTATTTTTGTGTGCACTACGTCATCATGCACAGCCTTTTATCCGCAAAAACTCAGTTTGATGGAAACATCTCTGGTGGGAAAATGCACATTGTTTTAGGCAGATTTGAGAATATCCGCATGAAAATCTGTCGTAAATTGAATAGATTAAATGTATTTCAATCCCAGTTTATAACGCAACAAAATATGAACAGTTTAAGGGGGTGTAGACTTTCTATAGGCACTGTATGTCCTAACATGTACCTCTGTCTCTCTGCCCTATAGGAATCTACCTAGTTATATGTTCTAACGTCCGTCTTTGTCTAACAGGAAGTGGAGCAACTGCGTCTGGAGCGGCTGCAGATTGACGAGCAGCTCCGTCAGATCGGGGTGGGGTACCGTGCCCCCCCTAGTCGGGTCGGGGGCACCGGCCCCGGGGACAGGGAGAAGGGCTACCTGACAGACGAGAGCAGCAACTCCACCAACCTCCACACCTCCCGCACCTATGGAGGCCGTGGCCGAGGACGCAGGCCCTCCAACAGCCAGTACTCTGGATATGGTGAGACTAGACTACAACTCCCATGATGCCTCACTGCTAACTGCATTCTATAATCTGATAAAACCAATATCTCAATATACAAACATTTATCATACAAGAGGCCAAACTGAGTGACGTTTCAAATGTTTACTCAGCGAAGGTGTACAGCTGAATACATTTAAATTTTAGTCATTTAGAAGACTAGTGTCCAACTTGTACTCTGAGCTCTCACCCCCTCCCTTCCACAAAGATGTACTTTTCCATCACCCAGGATTTCTCCATGCTCCTCCGTACATATCAAAGGATTTCTCATCAGTCAGGAGAGGCCTTGAGCTATTGGGATTACACATACCTACAGTCCACTAAATAACTACTCTTCTCATACACAGAGCTTGTCCCGAACACTAGTTTCAATCTCTAAGGATATAAAAACAATCTATAGAATGTAAAGCTATAAAACAGTAATTTACAATCTATCAACCCAACAATCTGCGCATGCTTCCATCTAAAACAGCAAATCATAATTTTGAGTACAAGTGGATAGTTTGGTTCTGTGTGAACTTGGTGTTTGCAGGCTACACTGTCAGTAGTTGACATGAATATCTGGTTAAATGTTGAGCTTTGCTGCAGTGAACATCAACCAGTCTGACACTTTGGTGTTCTCTCATGGGTTTTCTGCTGAGACAACTGGTACACGACACACACTTGGGACTAAAAACTACACTTTTGTACAAAACACCCCACATCCCATTCCTGCTTCACTCACACCTTTATCCCCCTCTCGGCATCTGTTTATTTCACTCCATCTCTGTCAGAACAAAACATTTTAGAGCTGCTAATTTACTAATCTATACTATTGTCTGTTGAAGTTTAGTCTCTAGCTGCCCCTTACTCTGTGTGTTTTCCAGGCACCAACTCTGAGCAGTCCAACGCTTCTGAGTCCGAGGACCTCAACGAGCGTGACCAGCGGCCCCGAGGCGTGGGCGGAGATGAGAGGGGTTCCCGTCGGGGTGGCAGGGGCCGTGGATCCAACACCGGACGGGGCCGCGGAGGACCCACCTCAAGGACAACCAACTCTATCAGCGCAGGTGCAATACAGCAGGCTAATTAATAGTCCAAGCTGGGGTACTGGGTCGTATTCATTGGGCACCAAATAGAAGAAAACTAACTGAAATGGGGAGGGACTTCCTGACCGTGTTCAATGAGAAACGTCATTTTGCGTATTCTGTAACCAATGTTTTGTTCCAGTGTGCTGTAATTAATCAATCGGTCCTTGGTTATACTGGGATCTTTCAGGTCAAACCTCATGGTCAAGTTTTCCTTCATTATGACTGGAAGGTGGTGCAGTTTGATATGCTAGGCCTCACTTTTTCTTTCGCTCCTCTCTCCTGGTCAGTGCTGAGGGACCCGGACAGCAACCCGTTCTCCCTGCTGGAGGGTGAGGGTGAGCAGGGCGATACGGACACCAGTGAGGGAGTGGGAGGAGTAGACCGCAGGAGACGCTCCCGCCGTCGCCGTAACGACCAGGAGCCGAGCGTGATGGACGCCGCCGCCACAGAGTCAGACAGCCAGGCCGGACCCAACGAGAACGGACTGGGTAGGAAGTCTGGAGAGGGCAGACATTTTGTAGAGTGCCAGTTGGTTATGCTGTGTGACTAGTTTGAAGTTGAAGTGTTAAAGTTTAGTTTCTCATACTTCCTCCCTCTCCTTTTTAAAAAATCAGATGAGGAGGGCCGACCCCAGCGCCGCAACAGGAGCCGCCGCCGCCGTAACCGTGGAAACCACCCCGAGGGAGGATCCTCCAGCCGTGACAGACAGCCAGCCGAGGGTGAGTAGTGTCAGACTTCCCAAACCTCTCTCCCGGTTGTCAGTCTGGACCTTAAAGGAAAATGGTATCCTTCCTTAGTCTCATTCCTCGCTGGTTTTGTCATTAAACTGTATATCCTGTTGAAATCACTGTTCTCTGGGTTCTTGTCTGTAGTGACCGTGGCAGACTACATCTCCCGCGCCGAGTCGCAGAGCCGACAGAACCTTCCCCAGGAGACACTCGCTGCTCCCGAGCCCAAGGTACACACACACACACACACACACACACAGTAGAAGATATCAGCTTATAGCAACTTGTTAAACTGACAGTTTCCCTTCCTCTGCTGTTTCCCCAGGAGAACGGGAGCAGCGCCAAGAGGGATGAGCTCACGGCGCCCACAATGCGGTCCCCTAGCAACGGCATGGCCACGCCCAGCGAGACCCTGGTCAACGGCGTCTCGTAGAGGACTAGGTCCCGCCCCCTAAAAACCCACGTCTAGAGCAAGACTTCATGGCAAACTCTGTCCCTGCTTGCATTTACTTAAACCTTAAAACAGATGAGTGAAAAACAACAAAATACCTGATTCATACTATGAGCGAGAGAGGGGGAGAGAAAAAGTACAAAAAAACGACAAACGCATCTTAAACACACGTAACGGTGTATGTTATCCTATCTATCAGTACTTAGTGCTTATTTTAAAAAACAACTAGCTTGCCAAAAGGGCTGGTGGATGTGACTTGATTATAAAAGAGAACTGAATCACAGAAAACAGGACGAGACTTTTTTTGTTGTTGTTATTTTTGTTTTATTTTGATGTTATCACTGGTTTGGACTTGTGGTCGCTCTCCCATTCAAACAGATGCATCTCTAAAAGTCCAGAGGAGAGGAGGATAGATGCCAACTGGAGAAAGGGAGGGATAGGCGGATGAGTCCAAGAGGTGAAGAACAAGTGACAGGAGTGCTACGTACCCTGGCCTAAACGTCGGTTGGTGATGATGGACAGACAGATGGGATTATTGATAGACATTGTGCCTTGAATTTGAAAAAAAGTTCATTGTTGAGTTTTGTTTCACAGGAAAGGGGTTTTTATTTTCTTTTTTGCTCAGAGAGAACAGACCAGTAGCGAGGGGATGGGAGTTAAACGAGTGCAGAGGTGTTAACTGTGGTAGGACAGAAAACAAGGGAACGAGTAACTGGCCAGAGAGTCTGGTGCCAAACAAAAAATTCAAGGCGCTTGTCCTCAGTGAGAGTGGACTGGACAGCGTTTGGGCTGTGTGTGTGTGATTGTGTGTTTGTACGTACGTGTGCACAGTTGAGAGAGCTGGCAACCACATGATTAAAATCGGGAGGGATGAGAACGCAGAATTCTTGGAACATAGCCCTGGGTCAGTGGTGAGGTCAAAAAGGCAGGCGAGGCCGCTCTATTTGCTGGGCGGGTAGGAAGAAGTGTTGCGTCACTTCCCGTCTCCAATGTTCGACACTAGTGTCCAGGGCTGTCCCTACACAGCCTTACAGACAGACTGACCGACAATGAGTGATTAAGGACTTGATGATCTATGGATTGATTTAGATTTTAAACAAGATAACTTTAGTGCCTCTTTCTCCTGGCCCACAAGCAGTGTGGAATAGGGAGGTAGGGTAGCACGGCGCTCTAGCTTCCAGCCACACTAACTAATGCCTGGGTGAACTGCAGCATGGCGGTCTGAACGTACACGCCACGATGACCACGAGGGGAGGGAGGTAGACTGTTGAAATCGAGCCACGTTGTTTCACCCTTCTAGAATGGTCCGTGTAGCGCGGGTGGGGTAGGAGACAGGCAGACTGACTGTGATGCGCACAGCTTCATAAGGGATGAGTAGAGCCATACACACGCAGGCTTACACAGATGCACAAACCGTGCAGGACCGCACCACGACACTGTTGCAATTCAGTCACGGGTGGTGGGGTTCAGTCAGTGTGGATGCCTGCGCGTTGCGGTCGAAGGAGAAATGACAGTGTTTTGAGAAACTATAAGCGAGGTGGTTGTCCTGTTCCTAAAGGTGGTGGTCGACAGGCAAGGGGCGGGAGGGAGGGGGGAGTGACTCAGAAACCCTCGGTGGCTCATGTTACTGTCTTGGTTACCGCTCTCAACTACGTTTTGTTCTTTCCACATAGAAAATATGAAATAAAATGGAAATGAAATCAACAACTGTCTTTTGAGATGAACTGATTGATTTCTTCTGAGTTCGCACTATTTTTCTAAATCAATCAACAAACCAACTGCATGATCATTCAGCACTAGCTTTGCACGAGGGAGAGGGTTTAAGTTTCTGTTTCACCATTATTTCATCCACTACTAGAACTGCTGCTAATGTCCACCTTTGAATGTCTTTTAGAATCCACACCTTAGACACTTAAGTACTGTTGTGGCTTCTGAATACCTTTCCACCACTGAAATTCACCCACAATATGGCCGCCTTTTTACAAGGATGACTAAGAATAAAATAAAAGCCATCTCCTTAGTGTAATTGTTTCCTACACTGAGTATTACAATAAGTATTTAACGAGGGAAACATTGAGCATGATAGGTGATCACACAAGTATTGAGGCTAATTAGGGATGGGATGGTGTTTACTGAATTAAAATCACACAGATTAATTGACCCCTTTGTGTTCAACTGTGGGTGTTTTAATGCGTCAGTATGAGCAGCGCACTGAGTATTTCTACCTTTGGTTCATTTGTGCATGCCTGCATGTAAGATTTGAGAAAGATGGAGCACTTAGTCTTGTTTTACTGTGAAATGTATACCACTCAGTTGTGTTTGTTTAATACTATCTGCCGCTTGTGGCTCACTATCCCCATGTCTTTCTGGGTGGAGAGAATGTTGACCTTTCAGTGTGTGTATGCTAGTAGTACTGTTTCGGGACTGTCAACTCCTCAGTGTCAGGTAGGCTGGTCTTCTCACTCATGTTCTGATGGCAATAAAGAAACTTCATTTTTTGATAAGCATTTGTACATTTGGCTAAATCAAGAACATTTGACACACAAACCTTGGACTGATAACTGAAATCACTTATCACTCACCTGATGACAGGAACATTGAATAGTTTAGTCTAATGCCAACCTTTACACTGTAAGACGCTTTGGATAAAAGCGTCTGCTAAATGGCATATTATATTATTATTATAGTCTTCTACGGCAGGATTTCCCTAAACTGTCCTGAGGCCCCCCCTCGGTGCACGTTTTGGTTTTTGCCCTAGCACTACACAGCTGATTCAAATAATCAAAGTTTGATGAGTTGGTTATTTGAGACAGCTGTGTAGTGCTAGGGCAAAAACCAAAACGTGCACCCAGGGGGGGCCTCAGGACCGAGTTTGGGAAACCCTGTTCTACAGCAGCTTTACATTGATGTCTACATACAGAAAAGGGCTCTGTTAATAAGAAAGAAAGCAGTCGCTGAGCATTTAGATCTGACCCATTATGGCTGAGGCAGCACGGCACCCTGGATCTTGTTAGTCTCATGGCACTATATATATATATATATATATATATACAGTTGAAGTCGGAAGTTTACATACACCTTAGCCAAATACATTTAAACTCAGTTTTTCACAATTCCTGACATTTAATCCTAGTAAAAATTCCCTGTATTAGGTCAGTTAGGATCACCACTTTATTTTTAGAATGTGAAATGTCAATCATAGTAGAGAGTGATTTATTTCAGCTTTTATTTATTTCATCACATTCCCAGTGGGTCAGAAGTTTACATACACTCAATTAGTATTTGGTAGCATTGCCTTTAAATTGTTTAACTTGGGTCAAATGTTTTGGGTAGCCTTCCACAAGCTTCCCACAATAAGTTGTGTGAATTTTGGCCCATTCCACCTGACAGAGCTGGTTTGAGTTAGGTTTGTAGGCCATTTTGGCACAACTTTCGAAGTATGCTTGGGGTCATTGTCCATTTGGAAGACCCATTTGCGACCAAGCTTTAACTTCCTGACTGATGTCTTGAGATGTTGCTTCAATATATCCACATAATTTTCCTTCCTCATGATGCCATCTATTTTGTGAAGTGCACCAGTCCCTCCTGCAGCAAAGCACCCGCACAGCATGATGCTGCCACCCCCATGCTTCACGGTTGGGATGGTGTTCTTCGGCTTGCAAGCATCCCCCTTTTTCATCCAAACATAACGATGGTCATTATGGCCAAACAGTTATATTTTTGTTTCATCAGACCAGTGGACATTTCTCCAAAAAGTACGATCTTTGTCCCCACCCAGTCTGGGTTTTTTTATGGCGGTTTTGGAGCAGTGGCTTCTTCCTTGCTGAGCGGCCTTTCAGGTTATGTCGATATAGGACTTGTTTTACTGTGGATATAGATACTTTTGTACCTGTTTCCTCCAGCATCTTCACAAGGTCCTTTGCTGTTGTCCTGGGATTGATTTGCACTTTTCTCACCAAAGTACGTTCATCTCTAGGAGACAGAACACGTCTCCTTCTTGAGCGGTATGACGGCTGCTTGGTCCCATGATGTTTATACCTGCGTACTATTGTTTGTACAGATGAACGTGGTACCTTCAGGCGTTTGGAAATTGCTCCCAAGGATGAACCAGACTTGTGGAGGTCTACAATTTTTTTATGAGGTCTTGGCTGATTTCTTTTGATTTTCCCATGATGTCAAGCAAAGAGGCACTGCGTTTGAAGGTAGGCTTTGAAATACATCCACAGGTACACCTCCAATTGACTCAAATTATGTCAATTAAGCTAATAGAAGCTTCTAAAGCCATGACATCATTTTTCTGGAATTTTTCAAGCTGTTTTTAAGGCACAGTCAACTTAGTGTATGTAAACTTCTGACCCACTGGAATTGTGATACAGTGAATTATTAGTGAAATAATCTGTAAACAATTGTTGTAAAAATTACTTGTATCATGCACAAAGTAGATGTCCTAACCGACTTGCCAAAACTATAGTTTGTTAACAAGAAATTTGTGGAGTGGTTGAAAAACGAGTTTTAATAACTCCAACCTAAGTGTATCTAAACTTCCGACTTAAACTTTATACACACACACACACACACACACTGAACAAAAATAAGCACAGCGTGCAACAATTTCAAAGATTTCTGAGTTACAGTTAAGGAAATGTCAATTGAAAATGTCCCAGTTATTCCATGGCCTGCATACTCACTAGACATGCCACCCATTGAGCATGTTAGGGATGCTCTGGATCGATGTGTGTTCCAGTTCCCGACAAAATATCCAGCAACTTTGCACAGCCATTGAGAATTGGGACAACATTCCACAGGCCACAATCAACAGCCTGATCAACTCTATGCGAAGGAGATGTTGCGCTGCATGAGGCAAATGGTGGTCACACCAGATAACGACTGGTTTTCTGATCCACGCCCCTACCTTTTTTTAAAGGTATCTGACCAACAGATGCATATCTGTATTCCCAGTCATGTGAAATCCATAGATTAGGACTTAATGAATTTATTTCAATTCAATTTATTTCAGAGGAGCCTTGTCTGGCAGCGAAACAGTATATTCAGCCTTATTTACTGCCTTTTTAAAAACCATAGCTGATATGGCTGACTTGCTTAAACAAATGTGGTTTCTACTGACAATTGCGATGTACAAATTATGGCATAAGGGGACGACGAGCGGATGAGATGCATTCCGTAATTTCGATTAAGACATTTAATGAGCGAGCTAGGATGCACGTAGTCACTATAACTATTTGTTCAGCACTTTTGAAATGTACAGTGACAGAATTCAGAACATGGCCCGTTCTTACAGTATTCTACCTGTACACCAAGTAAGAACCGTAGGATAAATAAAGGGAAAATATAAGCAGACAATGAAAGCTCTTACAATATTCAATCATTACATTTCTCTAAAACAGGCTATAGGCTACATGTGCACCACCAAGTCAGAACAGTAGGCTAAATTATTAGGGAAAAATTGACCAAATGATTAGGGTGAGGCACATGGGCTACTAACAGTTTACTACACAACATACACTTAGTATTACTTTCTTAGTTACAGTATACATATCTCCCTGGCATATTACATCATTTATGCAGGAGCATACAATACATTTTTGGACTCACTTGAACAGGAAGGTGGCACGGCGGTCCTTCGTGGGAAAATTTTGTCATCAAAGTCTGGCATTCTCTGGATTTATGGTGCTTTCAAGACAACTTGGAACTCTGGAGAAAAAAAAAAACAAGGTTGAATCATGATGACGTCAGTGATCTTCAGGCTCTAGAAAGAGGCCTGAGTTCCCGACTTGCAATTCCAAGTTGGATGACTGTTCAAAATGTATTTTCCCAGTTGGAGCTTTTTTTTTCAGAGTTCCCAGTTGTCTTGAACTCACTGAAGTCTGAGATTTCAGTTGTTTTGAGAGCAGCAGAAGTCATGCTGGATTGACAGCATGGCCAATGTTGAATGTTTATCCTTTTAAGCTTGGAAAAGAGACCTTTAAACCCAGACTTGGACCACACACCCACTTCACTGAATAGCAGGCTAGTGATTTCTTAGCAATGCTTGCAGTTAGCCACTGATTCCTTCCAAATTACTCATCGTTGAATTTGCGATTTCCAACTTGTTGTGTAATGTTTATGTCCAACGGCCGATGAGCAGTGATACCTTTTATTTATAATTCCTCTTCATTATTTCTGTTCATACAGTGGCTTGCGAAAGTATTCACCCATGTTTCCTATTTTGTTGCCTTACAACCTGGAATTAAAATGGATTTTTGGGGTGTTTGTATCATTTGATTTACATAACATGCCTACCACTTTGAAGATGCAATTTTTTTTTTTTTGTGAAACAAACAAGAAATAAGACAAAAAACCTGAACTTGAGCGTGCATAACTATTCAACCCCCCCCAAAGTCAATACTTTGTACAGCCACCTTTTGCAGCAATTATAGCTGCAAGTCTCTTGGGGTATGTCTCCCTAAAACACTTTAGCGAGCAGGCCTTCCTAATTGACCTGGCCCAGGTATCCTGGATGGATATAGATCTCATTCCGTCAGTAGAGGATGCCTGGTTGTTCTTTAAAAGTAATTTCCTCTCAATCTTAAATAAACATGCCCCATTCAAAAAATACAGAACTAAGAACAGATATAGCCCCTGGTTCTCCTCAGACTTGACTACCCTTGACCAGCACAAAAACATCCTGTGGCGTACTGCATTAGCATCAAATAGCCCCCGCGATATGCAACTTTTCAGGGAAGTTAGGAACCAATATACACAAGCAGTTAGGAAAGCAAAGGCTCATTTTTTCAAACAGAAATTTGCATCCTGTAGCACTAACTCCAAAAAGTTTTGGGACACTGTAAAGTCCATGGAGAATAAGAGCACTTCCTCCCAGCTGCCCACTGCACTGAGGCTAGGAAACACTATCACCACCGATAAATCTACAATAATCGAGAATTTCAACAAGCATTTTGCTACGGCTGGCCATGCGTTCCACCTGGCTACCACTACCCCGGCCACCAGCTCTGCACCCTCCGCTGCAACTTGCCCATGCCCCCCCCCCCCCCCCCCCGCTTCTCCTTCACACAAATTCAGACAGCTGATGTTCTGAAAGAGCTGCACAATCTGGACCCCTACAAATGAGCTGGGCTAGACAATCTGGACCCTTTCTTTCTAAACTAGCCGCCGAAATTGTCACAACCCCTATTACTAGCCTGTTCAACCTCTCTTTCGTAACGTCTGAGATCCCCAGAGATTGGAAAGCTGCCGCGGTCATCCCCCTCTTCAAAGGGGGTGACACTCTAGATCCAAACTGTTACAGACCTATATCCATCCTGCCCTGCCTTTCGAAGGTTTTTGAAAGCCAAGTTAACAAACAGATCACCGACCATTTCGAATCCCACCGTACCTTCTCCGCTATGCAATCCAGTTTCCGAGCTGGTCATGGGTGCACTTCAGCCACGCTCAAGGTCCTAAACGATATTATAACCGCGATCGATAATAGACAGTACTGTGCAGC